ATTAAGACTGTCAATATGTTCCTGAAACCTCATACAACTATCGACAATCACACCAAGGTATTTCACTTTATCTGTTCTGTTTAGGGTACTGCAATTACATAGGTAATCGTTCGGGTTGAGGCAGAAGTGAGCAGTAATTTTGTAAGAATCGACGTGTGACGCTGCGGTTGCGTTGAGAGAGAAGGCAATGTAGTTAGATTTATCTGCATTTAATGTTAGGACACTTCTTCGAAGCCAATTAGTCACAGCGTTGAGACCCGATTGCGCACACTTAAAGACGCTATCCCATGTGTTGTCACTAAAGAGCAGAACGGTGTCGTCAGCAAAAGTTATAATTTTGCCATTATGTAAAGTAAGCCTACCCAGGTCGTTAATGTAGATAAGGAAGAGCATAGGGCCAAGGACGCTGCCCTGGGGCGTTCCATACGTCACTATTCGGTCTTCGCTTATAACGTCATCCACCTTAACGCTCTGGGAACGCTCACTAAGGTAGTCCTCAAATAGCCCAAGTTGTTGCCCCCTGATGCCAACATTTTTCATTTTTTGCATTAGGATGGGAACAGAGACCGTGTCAAATGCTTTTGCTAGATCTAGAAAGATACCTATGACCTTTTTCCCACGATCCAGGTTCTCGACCACATAACTTGTTAGATCATGTACGGCGTCAGAAGTCGATCTACCCGCTCGAAAACCATATTGTGTCTGGGAAAGTATTTTTTGGTTTTCTAAATAGGTGACCAATCTTGTATTCATGATACGTTCCAGTATTTTCGACAGAGCGGGAAGGACAGCTATGGGCTTATAGTTGTTGACACACTCTCTGCTCCCACTCTTGTAGATTGGGTGTATAATCGACTTCTTAAAGATTTTAGGAAATCTACCTGTGGTTAGAGCTAGGTTGCAGATATGTGTGAGTGGGGGTACAAATATCGCTCGGTGTTTTTTAAGTAAGTTGCTAGAGATTTCGTCCCAGCCTACAGCACAGTCACCACGAAGAGACATAATTAGGGTTTCCACCTCTTCCACGTCAGTGGGTAACAGTGCCATGGATTGAATGTTTTTGCAGGTAATTGTTTCTGTGAGGTCACCCGCTGTGTTCATTATTTTTTCTGCTAGGTTTTTTCCAATATCAGCGAAGAAGTCATTTATTTTATTTACAGAAGTATGTGGAGATTTGGATAATGTTAGTAGCTGGGAATTATTTTCTTTCTTTTTGCTTCTATTGGTTAGGTTATTAATAGCCGTCCATAATTGTCTTGTGTTATTCCGTGCCCTGTGTATTTCTCGTTTATCATACTCTATTTTAGCCTTTTTAAGCTGATTATTGCAATAGTTTCTATATCTAGAAAAGGATAGTTTTAAAATTTCACTGTTGGGTGTTTTTTTGTATTGTTTGTGCAAGCTGTCTCTGTGTCGTATGCATCGAAGCAAACCCGGGGTGATCCAATCCTTAACTATCTTTTTTCGGTTGGGCACTTTAACAATTTTTGAGTTATTTTTAATGGCCTGTCTAATAAGATTTACCATTGTATCAGCTGCCAGGTTTGCGTCGTGCATGTTGTATATATCGCTGAAGTTAATTTGATTTATGTCCCTGTCTAATTGCTCATAGTTAATACGGTTTCTTGTTTTTTTAGCGACTATTCTTTTAGTTTTTGTAGCGAGAAACAACAGAACAGTTTCATGGTCGGTTGGGGCGGAGTGGGCAACTAGTACTGTGGCAGGTAGCACAGTCTTTAGTATAAAGTGGTCTATACATGCATTTGATGCAGAGTGAGGTAACTTAGTTTGTCTGAATCTCGGTGGTCGGGATGAATGTTGATGTTTATGTCTCCAGTTATTACGATGTTATCATATTTTTCTATTGTTAGTAGTATATTACCTAAGTTGTTCAAGAAGTTAGGAATGTCTCTGTACCCAGGTGGCCGGTACAACGCTAGTATGATAATATTCCTATTAAGTTTTATAAGCAATCCGTTAGCACCTGGAAAAGAAGGTTCCTCCACAGTAACTTTAATGTCTTCGCGTACATAGACTAAGACGCCCTCATTTTGTGTAAAATTATTTATGGTTTGGAAATGGTTGTAGCCTGTCAGGTCAGGTATAGTTGGGGCAGTACGCAGCCAGCATTCTGTTAAGACTATTACGTCCCAATCCACCTTTGTTCTAGATAGTATAGTGTAGAACCCGTTGATGTTTTTCGAGACACTCCTAATGTTTTGGTTTAGGACCTTAAGCGAATATTCAGGTTCAAAGTCAGTAGGGGTACAGTCATCTAGTTCGCAGCGATACGATTCAGAAACAGATACAGCGTCTATGTTGTTTATATTGTCTTGGGCAGTATCGAATAGTGGGAGTAATGGTTGTTAACGTATGCAGTTAATATTAGGCTTTTAGTTATTATTTCGGAGTTTTGAAGTATGGTTTTTTTATGATATTTGATTATAGGCTGGGATTCGTAATTATAAGTATGGAGTGGTACGACGTTGCGTTTTGGAGTAGTTATGTTCTTGTGTTTTGTTTGTGTGTAAGGGGTAAGTAGTGTGTAGTGTATTTTGTAACTTTGCGAATGTATTGTATTAGTAACTGTATTTGTTTTGTATATGTTTTCATAGTGTTTATATGTATGTATGTTTGCATGTGTCCGAGTTAGGTAGGTTATAATACTTTTAAAATAAATGGCAGTATAAGAACAATAAGAGTAAAGATATGGAAGTACTTTGCATGCAATAAAGTTAATTACAGTAATGTTAAAGAGGAAAAACTTAACTAGTCACTTGGTTTTCTTCAGCTTTTCGATGTCTTCTTCGCAGCTTATGCGAAGGCGGGTCTCATTCGACCTACGTTTCAGATACACTTTGCCAAAGGATGTCCAGCAGTGTTCGTAGTTGTAGTCCTTAGCAAACATTCTAGCCAGGTAATGTAGTCGTCGCGCTGGCGCAGTAAGGGATTCAGATACAAATATATGTTTGGTCGGTCCATTTATACAGAGACTAGACGTACTCAGACGTTGACCGGTGTTATTTTTATTATAGTTTCTTGTGGCCCTTAAGAATCTCTCGCGCTTTATAGTCGAGGTGAATTCCACCAACACCGGACCGGGTTCCTGATTTTTGAGTTTCATCCGAATTACATCTCGTATATCCAAGTCTTCAACTGGGGCCTGGATAAGCGTGCCGATTTTCTTTGCGACTTCAACTAACTGTTCCTTAGTCTCGGGTTCTGATGTAGGGACATTTCTAAGTTCTATAGTGGATGATCGAGCGTTTATTGCGAATTGCTCCAGTTTTGCCTCAAGGGTTTTAATTTGTGTTTTAAAATAATTATTTTCTTGTTGAAGCGCTTTTAGGTTTCTAAGAACATCATCGTATTTAGACGAAAGGTACATTATTGACTCCTTCATTTCCTCATTTTGAACTGATAGGGATTGGATTATAGATGATTCCAGTGAGGCGAACCTAGCGTCCTGCTGTTTCTTTATCTCGTCCATCCTTGCCATAAGATCAGATAGTGTGATGTCGGCGGCGCTAGATGGGTCGTTCCGTCGGCGTTTACTTCTCTTTGCAATATTTAGGTCAGCACATTCCTGATTTTCGAGTGAATAAATCGCCGAGTCAGATCCGTAATGAACAGGCGAAGTAAGTAGTTTAGAACTACTTTTCGGCGGTGTGCGTTTGACCGACATTTTTCGTTATATGGTATCAATATTGCACCTTGCAATAATATTTACCGGCTAATAGCGTACGCTGAAGTATATCTAACGGAGCGCACGGGCTTGTGTGTGTGCGCCGCCTGCTGTTACTAGGTGAGTGCACACAAGGTCACGCGTCGGCAGTGCGAAATGCGCGCAACGAGGATAGTATCTCCGCCTCAGGTGTTGCTGTCCTTATCGGTCACTACACCGCGTTCAGCGTCGACTTCACTGTGTTCTGCGCGCCTAGTACTTGCTCATAATTTAAGTTATTAATTTTTTCAAATAATTTAATAAAAACTCGCACGGGTGCAGGCGACTATACGCGTTGGCGATCCGAGGGGAAGGGGCAAGGGGAAGGGGGAAATGTATGGATGTATAATGTACTTTTATATTAATATACATAAATAAATATATAAATTAGAAAAAGTTCAAGAATCGACTACAGAATGTATAAGACCCAGAGGAACTAACAGTCTTCAAATATAATTTTTCGCAAGGAAAAGTTGTAAAGGAAATCTAAGAAACCTATAACATATTTAGAACAACAATAGACAGATATTCAGAGGGACGCTGACCTAAGCGGAAAATATTTTATCGCGGATAAAATAATTGTTAATAAAAAAACCGCCCCAATTAATTCTAGTCCATTTTATTTATCTGGAATGACTTCACACACTCTTTCACGTTTGACGTAAATCTGACTTTTATAAATACTTAAGTACAGTTTTATCATAAACTAACTGACTCGCGCAACTTCGTTCAACTTTAAACATTTTTCTTTAATGTTCGTTCGGCTCCTATTGGTCGCAGCATGAGCTTAAAGCCTTTTTCTATAAATAGACTATCCAACACTAAAATATTTTTTCAATTCGAACCAGTAGTTAACGAGAGTAGTGCGTTCAACCAAACAATCAAAAAAAGTGTTTATAATAAGAATATATTTATGGAGATAGATCAGCTACTCCCTTGTAACGCACTAGTAACTCCTACCGTAATTCCTAACTACTGTGACATACCGTGACTCCCTCGCCTTTTCCGTTTTCCTTACCCCAATTTCACTGTTGCCTTTTTCCTTGTCTGAAAATAAGTATGTTCCCACCGAGCTCAAGGACGTCCCGCCGTTACTCAGGTAGTCAGCCATAAAAGAAACCAGCTCAAACTCTTTGCAATGTTACACATTAGCGCACCGACCCCAAACAATATCGGAAAGGGGAATAAAGTTGGAAAAATGATGATAATAATATTATTAGAAGTTAGCAGAACTTTACTGTGTACTTGTACATTAATTATATTTTTCACGTTTTAGGTATAAGTGTAATGACAAGATCTGTGACCGGCCGTCAACTACCAAATGCTAGAGAGCTTAGTATGCAGCTTTTTTTAGACAAAAATCTTGTTGATCCCGTATGGAATCTGAATGCGCAACAATGGGGCCAAATTATAACCCACGATATGTCACTCACAGCTGGGGCTCCACAGATTGGTAAATAATTTTCTACCTTACATACTTTAAGTACTTAGGTACAACTTTCACTAAAAAGTGTAAATAAATCGTTTATAAAACTTACTAAACATGTATTTGTTGCATTTTTTACAAACTAAGTTCAAATGCAACAACTGGTGGTTCAACTGGTGAAACAGTTTTATTTTGGTGATGCAATTTAAACTCAAATTATCTTTATTTGAAATCGTCTTTTATATAGAGTCAACTCTAAGATCAATCACAATAGCAACAATCTCTGTTTTGTCAAATATTTGTTTAAAATAATTATAATAAAATTATACCCATTAAAAATTCTATTATATGCCCTTTTTACGTGTGGAAACCCACTCGGGCCATCACCGCAACAGGGTTAGCGGCGGGGTGGTGTGTCTACCTATCTACCTACTAAAATCACAAGTTGTGCCACTATTGGATAATGCCTGTAATAGGAGGGATCCGGGAACTGCTGTTATTAAGACATCCGGACCCCTCCTAGTGCCTTCCCGCGACGACGCGGGCACACGCGAACGTCGCCTCTTCGCGGCTGGCCGTTATGGCGGGTGAAGGGGAAAACCCGTCCTGACCACCTGCGACCACACTCAGGGCGGCATAAGGTTCTGGTAAGCGCTCCTCCGCCACCCAGTTCATCCTCCCGGGCCCGCTCCGCCGCCTCCTTCTGCATTATGACGTCTTCGCAGAAGGATGCGACCGCGGTAAAACAACTATCACTGCGACGCCCAAGCCGGGCAAATTGCCAGCGTGTGCTGAGCCGCGTCCTGACTGCAATTGCAGTGGTGACAGGAGGGACTCAATTTCCTCCTAGCGACCGAATGCAGGTACTTCCCTAAGCAGCGGTGCCCGGAAAGGTCCTGCGTCAGTCGAAAGGAAAGGGTCCCATGCTGCCGCCCTGCCATCTTAACCGGCAAAACATAACCCACTTAACATAACCGGCTGGAGCGCTTCCACGGCGGCAAAGCCAGCACATGGAGCCTCCAGCCGGGACGACCAATGATAATTCAAAACATTAAACATTCACAAAATGATACCCAAATGATTCACCAACAATAGAGGGGATCTGGCGTTCGGCGGCTGCTACCGCGGCCTGCTCGATCCGCTCGTTCGCTTTCGCGTTTTAAGGTTCACAGTTCTAATATCATTTTTTTATGTATTAATAACAAAGTAGAAGTTATTAAATTACATTAAACGTTACTTATAGCTTTTTAAAATATATGCGTAACTGAATATTATATGTATAACTGAATCAGAATCTTAATTTTAGCAGTTTATTCGAGGTATTGAAAATCGGAATGTCGTTTTTCGGACCGAGAATTTATCGAGTATTTGATTCTTCGAACGTATAAATATCGCAAAACAAACACATCGCATTACGACTTTCGGTAAAATAAATTTCTTGAATATTAATATTAGACATTACAATTCTTAGGTATCATGCAATTCGAACTTTTGAAACTCGGAACATCAAAATTCGGAGTAAAATATTTCGGGAGTACTTGGGTGTTCCCATTCGATAGTCTTTTATAAATAAGACACACCCGATGTTCACGTTATTCTATTATTTATTTTGTACATATTTGCGCATTTGAAAAAGCCTTCCTTCACCTTCTTCTTCATTCGTCATATTTCTTTCTCTATTGTGCTTTATAGGCGCTCACCTTTCTCATAGACACCTGTGCTCGACGCTTTCTCATACAAGATGCGCCCAAGTAAGGTCTGCCCATCATGAACTAACTTTTTTTTTTTTAACGTGTGGGAATCCCCTCGGAACGTCACCCCGCCGGCGATGTGTTGGACTCGAACCGACTAAAACCACACGGTGTGCCAGGCTTCAGGGGGGGTCCAGGTAGTTATCGCCTTCTGGACCCCTCCCAGCGCCGGCCCGCTTCTGGTGCGGGCTCCGTCTCAAAATGATCCTATCTTTAGGCGATGTCCGGCACACGCGGACGCCGCCCCCTCGCGGCTGGCCAAACTAATGCGGGTGGAGGGGAAAACCCATCCCGTCCACCAGCGGCCACACTCAGGGCGGCATGAGGCGCAGGTGAGCGCGCCTCCTCCGGATCGGGTCCGAGTGAAGAACGTCCTCCCGGGCCTTCTCCGCCGCCTCCTTCTGCGAGATTACTTCCTCGCAGAAGGTTGCGACCGCGGTAAAACAAGTGTCGCTACCGGCCATGGAGCGTACTACGGCCGGTGGCGAGAGATCCGCTCCGATGACTGGAGTTAGGGCCCGGCGCTGCGTCGCCCATGCGGGGCAGACTGCCAGCTTGTGCTGGGCCGAGTCCTCACTGCAGTCGCAGTGGTGGCAGGCAACGAGTGCAGGTACTTTCCGAAGCAACCGTGCCCGGAAAGCACCTGGTCCACGCATTTATAGATGCGTCAATCACAATCACTTGCTTACAGTATAGGTACCACTTGAAGTTAGTTATATGTATAACTTAGGTACTTATACTGTGGCATAACATTTATAGAAAGGTGAACTTATGTATATAACAATTATTTATTATTTACACTTAAATTATAATACTATTGGTGATAGTGAGCGATTCGAGTTATCGAGGTACACTGGTGAATTTACTTTCAATACAATGAAACATATCTAAGCTTGAACCCTCAATTAAGATGTTTTCAATGTATAGAAGTGCGAGTGCTTTCGAAATTGCCAACAGGCGCTGGTGTGACTCGTGCATTGCGCACGTCCATCGCCAAGGCAATCTTAAGCCCACCTTTTTTTACGTGTGGAAACCCCATCGGAGCGACACTCCATCGGATTTTGCGACGGGGCGGTGTATCGGAATTGAACCGACTAAAACCACACAGTGCGGTACTCTGCACCTGAAATAGAAGGGATCCGGGAAAAGCTGTTGCAGTGTTGGGATTGTAGGTATGCACGTGTAATGGGCGAAAAAAATAAAAAATAAAAAAATAGTCCAATATTCCTACCACGTACAGTCGGATACATATAGGGATAGTAGAAGTATCGTTTTAAAAATAGCAGTCTAACAAATTATTTTTGTAAGTTAAATATAACACAGCGCAGTCATCATCCCCTAATCTTGCTTCTTCAGTTCACTTCGGAATAAATACAATGTGCGCTAAGATTTTCAAAATTTTCTCGTAACACACTTGTGTGTCACTTAGATTCTATTTTGAAATGTTCTATTATTATCATATTATAGGAGGTGCGCCACCCCTTGTTTGCTGTGATAACAGAGGACAATTGGCTCCAGATGTAAATAACCCTTCTTGCGCTCCTATATTGTACCCATCAAATGATCCAATCCACGCACCAGAGGGGGTACGATGTCAAAACTTTGTGAGGACTGGAACTACTAGAGATAGAGGATGTACAGCTCCTACTGCTTCTGCTGAACCGGTAACATAAAAAGCATTTTCATCCTTTAATTTTTCTTTATGTATTAAATAAACAATAGATATTACACATGTCGTAATATAAAATGAACTCAATTCCGACTGCTATTTTATACAGATCTAGTTTTTTATAGAAAATTTCTATTAATCTCATCACATGATTAAAACTATAAAAACATATATTTTTTTCCAGATCTCTGTTGTAACAGCATTTATGGATCTGTCCATAGTGTACGGCAGTAGTGCTCTTCAAGCAGCTCCTCTTCGTGCTAGAACAGGTGGCAGACTTCTGACCTTATTTAGAAACAACCAGGAATGGCCTCCACAAGATTCTAATGTAACACTTGCTTGCCCGCCTGCTCAATCATCCAATGAACCCTGCTATTTAGCTGGTAAGTCTACGGTCTTATCCCAATAAGTGTATGGTTTTGCTTGGTTAATATTTTTGAATATTTTAGTAGGAAACAATAAAAAATTCATATGACTTAAGTCATCGGCTGGAATTAGGTTCCAAGATATTGCACTAGTGACAAAATGAGATGATGTACTTTGTTAAAAGTATAAATCTCTATAAGAACCACAAAGATACACAAAATTGAACCAAATAAAACCACACAGTGTTCTCTCACGCTTGTCCATAAGGAGAGGGGATTCAGTTATTAAATAGAAAGGAATTTCTGTACTTGCGACAGACTGGGCTAATAATCGATTCAACAGGCAGAGATTCAGATACGCAACACGGTGTGCCACTCTGATTATCATACCATCAAGTCGTACATAACACATGGAGATCTTATTTTGTAAGGTCTTATGGTACCATAAGACCTGTAAGACCTGTTGTATCCTTTGTAAGTTGGGCGAGTGCTAGTTCTCTCTCGTTAACTTTTAGCCTCATCTTCAGTATATACCAACATCTTGCGAAACGAGGCGGCGTAGTGGATTCGCACGCGCTCTGGCGCAGAATAATCTTCAAACAACAGGCTACACATGTAGACGCCATGTTAATAATAAGTGATGGACGTCGAATGATTAAAAATGTAACATTTCTTCTTTTTGTTAAAAGCTATAGTAACGTGAACGTATCGTGATTTAATAACTTTATGAATGATTTATGATTTACTAGAACCATTTGGAATCCGAGAATCAATTAAACGAAAGTCCGACGTTCTATCCATCACACAACTATGACGTTTCGAGTTCACTCTTGCGACACCCGTCTAAGTGAAAACAGAGAGTAGATAATTCTGAAGGATGTTTTATTACCGTCTTGATCATGATGAACGCTGCCCATTACTCATGAAGTATTGATTAAATAATCCCTTTGAAGTAAAATATTTGATCCTTCAATATCAATGAGAATCGGTATATATATTTTCACGAGCAAACTTTCTTCAGACGTACACCGGTTGAATCATAATGTGAAAATTTCGCCTATTGTGTTGACCTCAACAGACTGACAGTGCTTTAGTTGTAATTATCATTATAATGAGGATTCTCACAAAGAAAAATCGCTTACTTCGTTTCTCCATGTGGCTGCAACTGAAAAAAAAAATATTATTCTATCTCTCTCTCTCTGTTATTTGTAGCAACATTAGTGCCAACCAAAACTAAGTTCGTGGTGTGCTTTTCAATTGTAAAATAAAATATGAATTTCAGTTAATAATAAAAAAACCTTTTACATATAATAGGGATAGTTCCTAAGTTTCATTTTGTTGTTCTGTTTTAAATAAAAGTATAGGGCCTACACACTTATTGATAAAATGATTAAATAAAGCGTAAAATTAAACTAATCTCATAAATGAATAAACTTACACAGGTGATATTCGAGTAAACCAAAATCCACAACTAACAGTATTGCAAGTAATTTTGCTGCGCGAACACAACCGCATAGCAGATGTACTTGGCCACCTAAACCCTCACTGGAATGATGAAACCCTTTTCCAAGAAGCGAGACGCATCCATATAGCCGAAATGCAACACATCAACTACTACGAATATTTACCCATTCTCCTTGGTAAGGTTTACATGTACTTATTATCTATACTATATTTAATTTACGGGTGAGTCTATTTATTTTATAACACAACCAAATGAATTTTACTTAGGATAATAGGTATAAAGCTGTAGACTGTTTTCTTTTTTCTTAATAATGAATATATTACTATTATTATTAATATACTTAATAAAAATATAGTCACCGTACATGCTGTTTATATTTTTTATAAATATATTATACAGTACTGAGTGCTTATTGTGTTTTTTAAAAGGATTCGAGAATATGGTGCAAAACAAATTGATATACCCAGAGGCTTATGAGTATGTAAATGACTACAACGCTGGCGTGGACCCTTCAATTCTTGATGAACATGCTACTGCTGCCTTCAGACATTTTCACACACTTATTAGGGGATACTTGAAGTGAGTCTCTTTACTAAATAAATTTTCAAACATTCTGAGTTCATTTTCGAACAACAATACGTGAGGAAATCATTGTATAACCTATTTTACTAGATAAGGATTACTGTTACTAGGTAAGGATTACTTTTAAAAACAATGATAATGTCTTTGGTTTTGGCATAAAAAAATGAATGTTTTTTTTAACAGACATTGCGATCTAATGTTGTGATTCGTATTGTGTGCAAGATAGGTCATGATCTCTATGCTTCGAAAAGCCAATATGATATACCTACTCTTATTTATAGAAAGACAGTTAACGGGTATTCCCGAAGTTAAATCATATTTTACAATTAGAGCTACAAACTTATTTTATAAGTATTTTCAAAATCGTAAATACCAAAGTTCTTGTTGCACTAAGATGTGACAGTTTCAAACAAGTATGATTGTCAAAACAGGCCAATTTTAAATTATTTTTGATCTACGTGGCTCAACCGCAGTCAAGTCAGTTTAAATTCTCTGCGGAACGTATTGAATGTCAATATGTCAATATTGTTGTTTTTAAGTCCCTAGAATATAGACTTCATTTCATTTCATCACTCAAACAAACAAAATATAAGCGCCAAGATAGAACTTAGTAACATTTTCTTGGCATCAGCCAACATTTTTAATTTTCCGAAGAATAAATAGCTGAGAGAAATGTAGGTATTGTAAATGTGTATGGAAAAATGTTCAATGTCATCGTTCAACTTATTTGACGTCATTTATAAAACAATTATAGATTGATAACTCATATACAAAAATTCTCTTATAACTTATGCTAACCTTAAACATTAAAACACTTTCTGCGAATATATGGAAATGCATTTACCTACTCTTTAACTTCGACTTTCTTTAATCGTTTGACAGCATTTCTGTCTTAATAATATTTTATTCAGGTACGAGACAGGATATTTTCACAATTATAATTGGTTGGGCCAAAAACATTATAAAAGAAAATCGAACCCATAGGTAACGAAATATCTATTCAAACTTTTGTTTAAATGATAATGCGGCAAATTCTACACACATTAAAAATATACTTTAACTTCATTCAGTGAAAAGCGCTACACGGTGTAGAAACTATTTATTCTGCATCTAAAAAAAACGTGCCGTGTATCATATTAAATAATATCAGGAATGATCGTCTAGTCTTGTCGGAGAACCCTCCCTTCTATATATATAGGGACACAACAGTTGTTTTCTCACAATAATGTGTGATTGGAGTTGGACATACTGCTTCAAAAAGATAATGAAAATATTAATTACTTCTATGTGTTTTTTTTTGCTTTGTTAACAGGCTAGTAACAGAAAGTCGTCAATTAGCTGGAACGATACGTTTAAGTGATTGGCTTAATAGACCATTAGTACTCGAAATTGGTGATTCCTTCAGTAAACTAGCTAGAGGGCTCACGGCTCAAGAGATGGACTTCAGCGATCAGTTCTGGGATGCTGAATTAACACAATTCTTTTTCAAGTAAGTTACTCTACGTGTCTCTTACTAGTAAAATATAATGTTTTTAAATATTTATTTTAAAAATTAAGTCATTCAAACTTTAAAGTAAGTTTTATTAACCAACATTTTACGATGCTAAGTTTAAATTAAGGTCTCGTTGATATTGTTACATCTAACAATTTTAGTTTCTAGAACTAAGTTTTATGCAGATTTTGAGATACAAGGATATAACAACAATCATTGTTCAAAATAACGAATAAACCGTCAAGGTTATAGCAAAATTGGGACACGTAGTTCCACAATCAACTCGTTATACTGCTACTCACATCAAAGAAAGTTATTTCGTTGTATAGAGTTACAAATGAACCGCACTAGTGATAGTATTTCAAATGTTTGTGAGATCATAAAGTTGCCACTGTCGTGGCTTCTGTTTAAAGAACAATTGTGTTACGTGAACATAAAGTTATTTATTATTTATGTTTTATTTTTGAAAAGACAAATTCCAGCAATACCAACACCACTATTTGCTACACACTATTCAATAATCAAGGTTGAAAAACAGCGATTATTGTTGTTCAACAATAACAATCGCTGTTTTTCAACCTTGTACGTACAATACACCGCTACTAAACTAGTAATATATGTCTTACTTTCAAGCGGCCCGCCATTTCCAAGGGGACCAATGGCGCACCAGAGCTATATCTAAGTCATAATAATGTTTATTGACTAATTTTAATTATGTAGGAGCTCTTAACATATTAATATATGATAAAAGAGCTAATTAATAGTTTACTACAATTTTTATTAAAAACGTAAGTTATTAAATGTGGCAATAACATTAAAAAAAAAATCTTATTCATAAAAGTTTTAACAACATATCAAGATTGAAATGGTGTTAGTATGAAGAAGCATGCACCTTTTCAAAAGTGTACAAAGAACACGTTATAATACAATGTTATACCTCAAAAATAGTATAGTATAAAATTGTATTAAACAAATTACACATTTGTGGAAATAAGAAAGGGAAAATAATTTTAAAAATCATTTTTGCAGGATGGAAAATAATTTAAAAATTCTATAACAACAGTATTGCTTGCTTAGAAAGGAATAAAAAAGTGTAGATATAAAGCTAACAGTATTACCGGGTCATTAATTTATTTTTGTCATGAACACATTAGTAACAAACGAAGAGGACCCACGATTCTGTGCAGTTTAAGTCATATATCTCCTTCGATTCGACCTATTTGAATGGATTTTTTTTCCAGCGAGTGTTCTTAGATTAAAACGAACTGCGTACCTTAATTCGAACTGCAGATATGAAAAAAAAGCTATGAAAATAAAAGAAACGAATAGAAAATGGCGTTAAACGTTATAACTTGAGGATGGTTAGATAAGACACGTGGTCAGACTAGTAAAAGTTTTTATCTTTTTATATATAGATAATTGGTATCAGAAACATGACACGTGTATAATTGACTAATTTTATTTAAATCAAATTTACGAGATTTCATTGACTCAATCAATATTTTTACTATAGTGTTGTCTTGTTCTAGATTTGAAAGTTTGGTGATCTTAATTAAACTAAGTAACTAATAACTTTTGTACTAAACACTTTAAAGCATTCGTGCTCCTGACAAGAGACAAGTAAAATACTTAGATACAAGTTTCAAATAATCCTTCTAAAACAAAATTTTAATTATTTTAGACGTAATCAACTGGGATAAAAGTTACCGATTGTTGGCGAGCAGGCGTAGGTTGAATGGATTAAAACCATTAACACGGTTCTTAATCTAAACTTCTGTAATTCAAGGACAATCGCAATTGATAAGACAATTTAACGACCTTAATAGTAATCTATGTAATTTGAAAATTTAATACGTTTACAGCGAGACTCGTCCTCGACCTTTAGTAAAATCTACAAAACAAATGATGTTTGACTGCCTGGGTGGTGCAGTGGTAGCCTATGCGACTGCTATGCCGAGGTCTCGGGTTCGATTCCCGCGTCGGACCAAATGTTTGTATGATCTGCAAATATTTGTTTCGATGTTTGGATGTTTGCGTTTTTAGTTTCTGGTATTTAATTATTCTATCAGTTAATCTAGCTTTCATAGTACAAGTTCTGTTTAGTTTGAAACTAGATGGCGTTGTGTGTCCGATGTCTGAAAATATTGTCCAGAAAAATAGAATAGATTAAATTTAAAATACTTGTAAATATGTGTAGTAGGACCTCAGGAATACGTTCTCAAGGATTATTGGTAGTTTTTACAACTCGTATTTGATAATCAATTTTCAAAACAGAAAATAGATTTTAAGATAGAGTAATGACATAAGAATTTGATGGTTATTTCAAATTTGAAATCACCCCGAAGCGGAGTTGCTGTGTGGAACAAATTGTCACCTGATATTGACCTGGCCTGATATTTCCACACCGATACTACCTCAAAACCTTCAAGAAAAGAGAGTACTCTTATTCCAAAGATGGGCAACCCACTCGTGACTCCTGAATCATAGATGTGTATGGACAGTGGTAGTCACTTTCATCAGGTAACCCGCCGGCTCAAATGAATATACGGTCAGGGAGATGGTATAGGGGGTAAATGTCATGCAAAAAATATCTATGAAACGAAAAAATAAAATTACCGATAATAAAAAAATATTCACGATCGCTTTGGATTTCTATTATACGAGTATTTATAACACCACTCATGTTTAACTAATCCTATAGTAAGATGTCTTTTTAACCGACTTCAAAAAGGAAGAGGTTATTAATTCCGATGACTATATTTTTTTTATCTATGTTCGTATATAACTCCAGCACATATAGACGGATTTGTAAAATTATTTTTTGTTCGAAAGGGGTTTACTCCGAAATGGTCACATTTAAATTTATATAGGTCTAATGATGAGTTTCGGAGACAGACAACGGAACTTTACAAAAAATGACAGCAAATCGACCGCGATTGCTGCTAGGTTTTTGGTGCTCTTGGTTAGTATTGTTTGAAGTCGGTTCAACATATTATTATTATTATAATTAAAAACTTTGAAGGATTCCTAGACATTTTGAGGTAATCAGTCGTGATGTACTTATATTATGTAAATTCTGAATATTATTGTTAGATTTAAAAATAGATCAACAGTTTTGTTCTTTAACATAAGTTTTTGTATAACAGGGGCAACAATACTTTTGGTGGTGATTTGCGAGCGACGGACATCCAGCGTGGTCGTGATCACGGCCTCGGTAGTTACGTCACTACCCGTGCAGCTTGTGAACTACCTATTCCGAATAGTTTTCACGATATGCTTGACTATATCTCCAAAAAGGTATGTGGCAATTTTAAAATGATGGCAGTCGAACTGTTTTAGCCATGGGAAGTTCTTCATAGATTTCTTCTAAGTTGAGTAGCTCACCATAAATGCCTATAACGGAACACCCTGTGGTTGGTTGGTTCGATTCCGACATAACAGAATGCTGTGTGCTGTGGGATGCAACACTCGAGGGGGTTTTATATGTAAAAAAGGCCAATGCAGTGATGGTTGACATGGAAAACTGATGATCTATCTACCTTTATGAAATTACCCATATTTTTAGCTAATCGTTGGTTGATGAGGTTGATTATGATATTTACACAATAACATTGTTCTGTATTGAACTGAGCAATTGCAAAAGTTGCTTGATAAAAATTAGAACTTGGACTCATGGATACGGATACAGTTATTGAGTAAACAGAAGAAGAATTAAATAAAAGGCAAACAGTGACTTCTTGAAGTCATTTGTTACTACTAGTAATAAATATACAGTCTAAAATCATAATCCTCCTATTGGCTTTAGTTGGGCAACAACCTTTTGTAATTTAGTAGTCAGTAAAGCGGTTTTAAGTATAAAGAGGAGCATACTTATAGAAATTTATTGTACAATACCCTCTCATTATGGTTCGATATGGCGTGACACATTTTACAGCCTTCCTTAATTGAGACACTTTTTTGTAATTAAGTAATTACCCAGTGTGTTTGAGGCCTAAACTATTTATGTGCTAAGTTGTACAAATACAAACTGATACAATAATGTGCTATATGACAGCTAGCCTTTTTTTTTAACGTGTGGAAACCCCCTCGAGCCGTCACCCCACCGGGGTTTACGGGTGGTGTGTCGGAATCGGACCGACTAAAACCACACGGTGTGCCACTCTGTGCCTGTAACAGGAGGGATCCGGGAACTGTTGTTATTAGAACCTCTGGATTATGACAGCTAGCCTAGTCTAGCCTATATGACCTAGTTATTTACTTTGGTCTTAATTAATAGTTTAGAATGATAATTAAATCAGAATCAAGAAAATACTATTGTGAAAATTAATTGTTGATTAAGAATACGCCATCGACATAAAGATTATTTCTTCATGGTAAAATTATATTTATTAAAAGCGTAATCTATTTTAACACCTATAAAATCAGTGAAGCGTTAGTTTATTTTCTCTACGCCTAGATACCTTTAATGGCCCTTATACGGAACATAAACTCGGTCTTTAATTATAAACTATGATCCGGCAAACTATAAAACGGATTTATAATGAATGATAACAGTAATGTTCTCTATAAGCTTGATGTCCTAAATTTATTTGGCGAATAATAAAACTTCTGTATAATACACAGTTATAAAAATGGTAAAATGAAAGCTAGTTTCTACGTACATATTTGTAAACTTTTGTAGAAGCTCACAGTAAAACTATTATCGAGCAATTAATAATCTTCTGTGTAATGACTAAATATTCTATTAGTGTATTGCTGCTGGCTCCTGCCGTAACATATTTTTTGTTTTTTTTTTTAATTTAGATGTAATACTTCCAAAAACATTTTACGACGTAATCTTGTACGTAGCTCTAAGCCGGAATGCTTACATCACCCATAAATAAGCTCGAAATTGTACTGCAAAATAATTTTCTTTTGTTATCTCTTTGACCTAGTCATACTGCTTTTACTATCTGATATACAAGAATGGTTTATTTTCTGCTTAATTAAAGCACAAGACATATCAAGTGGATTTCTAAATAAGTAAACATTGTTTTAGCTTCGTTACGTTTATGCGAATGCTGCGCAATAACGTCGGCACTACCACTATGCAAACACTGCTTTTAATTAAACGTTTTGTTTCAAACTATGCTACAAACCTATAGGCAAACTGTTTAGATGTAAATAGATTTGATTGCTTGAAGGCTAGATTTCGGTTATGCTTAATATTTTCTGATCGTAATATCTTGTACTAGATATGAGACGATTAGCCGTATTATTGCGTAGGTACGACATAACGTTGGCAATAATAATTTTGAGTTGCTCATTAGTAAAGTAAAATATAAACATAGTTCAACGACTTTAAACCAGCTTAGCCATTAATATTCTTAGTATTTATTCCGAATTTCAATTGTCCTTATTTCTAAAAAAACGTTTCTAGAAGATAGTCAAATCTTATTAATATAGTTTTTTTTTTAAAGTTAAAATTGTACAACTTTTAACTATGTAGCCGATATTTTCACTTTCCTTTGAACAATCCCATATATGCTTTATGTCTTTTTACTATATAAATATAAATAAAATATTCCATGCATGATCTCATGCATGGAATATTTTCAATTGTTTTACTAAAGGCTCCAAACATTTACATTTCAATGAAATTCTTTTGAAAAGTATATTTGTATGATTTTTAGAAACGCGCCCATGCGAATAATATAATAAAATGAGTGATGTTGAAGTTGTTATCACTAGTTTGGGAGGACACCCGTGATTTCAAGTTGGATTCAATGTATCACAGAATAGCTAACAATAACGAACGTCAATTTGCCGGACGCCGACAAAATTCTACAGACGACAATAATATTATCTTTGAAGTTACAGACGGTTTTAGAATATTAATTCTAATCAGAAATAGGTAATCTTCTCGATAAAGGAGACAGAATTGACGAACACAACACAATACAGCTTGTAACTGGTCGAGGATTTTAATTTAGGCACAATGAAACACAGTTTTTGTTTGATTGATATTAAAAATCTACCTTATTTAAATTAAAAAGTAACATGGCACAAAGCGGGTATGATGTTATAGCCGCTTTTTTAAGCAGTTTTATCTCTATTAAGGCTCCATGAATAGCGTGCATTGACTACTTCTATTGAATATAAGTCTCAGAGATGCAGTCTGTTATCATACATCTCTCTTCTTCTGTCAGTCAGTCAGTCAGTTCAGTCTGTTATCATCTTGATGCTGTTTTCATACATATAAAATAATAAAATATTTTTTTGTCCCAGAATGTCGCTGTGCTGCAGAGTATGTACGCATCACATCAAGATGTCGATCTTGTTGTGGGAGGTTCTCTTGAGCGAAACGTGCCTGGAGCAATGGTTGGCCCAACTTTTCTTTGCATCTTGACTGAACAATTCTACAGGACGCGAGTTGGTGATAGATATTTCTATGAAAATGGTGGCGACCCGAATATTGCCTTTACTCCTGGTGAGTGTAAATTGTTTTTTTATACACAAATTTTTGTTAAATCAAACACCCAATTCAAAAATATTATTATAACTTCCAAATCTATGTTTTTTTAAATAAAGCTGTTCTCAGTTTTACTTTTGTGAAGTTCAGTGTTCAAAGCCACTTTTACGATTTAATTAAATTGTATCAAAAAAGCCAAAAACAAATAGGTATACATATATTATCAAAAATGAAATGTAGAATTTTATTTATACGAATATTTGATAAACAGGTCAGCTGAATGCAATACGCCAGGGCGCAAATATGGCTCGTATCCTGTGCGACAACGTTGACAGCATACACCTCATGCAACCCAAGGCTTTCCGATTGGTATCAATTAAGTAAGTGTTTATGTGTCAGGTTACAAATACTGTTAAATTATTGTATCTTATTCTTAATTTTCATGTATTTTTAAACACGGTATAAGACTATCCAGTTGAATTAGTACTTAAACTTCAAAACGGCACGTTCTATATCAAATTGTATGCAAAAGTGAGTGATGATGTCTTCACACCACACACCATCAGCCTTTAATAGTCCACTGCTGGACATAGGCCTCTTGTTAGAAAGGAGGTTTCAGCCTACTGTACCACGCTGGCCAGACGGGTTGGTATAGGGTTTTTTTCAAGTTTTGATTCTCTTTGCAGTGCTGTTGTCTTGCGTATTTTGCTCCCTTAGTCGGCTCTTACGACACCCACGGGATGAATAGGGGTGGTGACACTCCGTATTCTTAATCCGTCACCACACAGAAATGATGTGATGACGGAATTTAGATGTCTTACCTAACAATTTTCAAAACAATTACTTTTAATATTTTTATAACTTAAAAATAATGAGAAATTTGAATACAGTAACGAACATGTATGAAGAGCATGTATCTGGATGCAATACATCTATTTTATCTAATAATGTATGTGTTTGGTAACATACATATGAGTATGGGTGTCCGCAGTTTACTTGCTATAGCGTAGGCTCTGCCGATCTTGGGATATATCCAGATTTTATTTATAAAAATAGTATTTCTTTTAGGATGATTGAATTTTAAAGGTTTTACTACATACATGGATCAAATATGTTTATTTTTTACAGCAATGAAATAGTACCATGTGATCAACTTCCGTTCGTCGATTTGTCATTGTGGCAAGATGTAAGAGGTCAAGGCAAGAAATAAATATTCAAGCATAACTGTCAGAATAATCTTAACTCTTAAGATATACACAAAAAATGAACGGATTTCTGAAATACAATAATAAACTCTACTCATACTATGACTTATGATAATTCAGAAAGTGGTTCGTGGTTCATTGAAATACTTAATTTGTATAAATAAAATAAACTATACTCGTAGTATCAGTTTTATTACTAGCTACTATTAAGATAATTATAAAAATTATTTAATGATTTGTAAAAAACGTAAGTAAATTTAAGTAGAAACGGTTCTAAAGATTTGGATCAAATTTTGTGATTAGATAAGGTTTTCGTTTTTAAAATTAGTCCGCGCTGTTTAAAAAAAACGTAATGTTATGAAATAAACATAGCCTTCTTCTTTAGCTTTTCTTCTTTGACTACAAAACTAAAGAGCCAAATTAGGTTCTGTCGATGTAAAAAAAAAATAAACAGCAAAAATTATATATATGTATAAACCCTATTATACTTTTATTCTATCTCTTGTCTTCTACCACTGTGGGTGCTACAAAGTGCTTTATATCAATGTTTTTCTATGTACTCGTACCTACCATCGAATTTATGGTTAAACCTTAGCGATACTTATCTAAGCGATCACTATAGACAGTATAAGAGACTTGAACGGAAAATGTTTCCTAAATGAATGTGTAACCTTCAATACCTGTCCCGTACTTTACTAAAATAGTTTATATACTGATAACTGAATTTTAATATATGTTGACTGCTTTGTGGTGAAAATATTTATAACTGTAAATTATGTAATGCGTTTCTTAAATATTCTTATTTTTGTAAAACGAACTACTTTTTGCTGTTTAGTGCCAGATGGCACAAAGTGGATCGTGGTAATTACTTGATGCCAATGGTTAAGTTGTATAATTGTGATTACGAGTGTAATCATATGATTATAGGCCATATGACTAAATTAAGTGCATGTTTGTTTTAAGATGTGAATGATGACTTTGTAACGACTTTTGTTACGAGTTTACGTATAATGTAACAAATGAGTAAATCTAAAAGTAAAAATGATATATATTGTTTTGTTTCTTTTTTCAAGGAGGATTTACATATTCCTCATCTCTTCATATAATATGTAACTATTAATGATATAAATAATTAGGTATTCTAGTTAGATAACACAACATAATTCAGTTGGTTGTCTTTGGTTCTTATCAAAATTTATACAAACGGTTCCAAGAGTTTACTCATGTCTTAATTAAGTGGTATATTTTTCCAAAAAGGTTTCCAAAATGTACATGTACCTCGACGACATCGACCTCGATGTAATTTTAAATGTAAAGACTAGCAGTAAAAAAAATATTTAAAAAATAAAAAGGTTTAAAGCATTATTAAGCATTTTAAGGTAGTATAATGACTATGCTCTTTTAATTTTGAACATTTGAATTTGGAGCGAGAGTTTAGTATACCTAAACATGACATGAGAACTGTCTTCGAAAATTTGTAATCACACAATGTGTTTAAATATGTTGAACTCAGAGGGAAGTGAATTTGTACCAGCCGCTTAAGCAGACAAACCACACTGGCAGGCTTTTCAGCGGACAGGTTAGTGATAAGTATGGGATTTCTCTTTTTTGCACTGTATTTGTTTCAAATTTATACTTGGTGTGGTACGATTTTCTGATCCAAAACGACTCGGACTAGGCTTTTATCATGTACTTATTATTAGTATTTACTATGAACATACATGATTTTATTTAATAATATAGCAAAAAACATTTGCAAAATTACACTCAGGCGAGTCCATTTTCGATCGTTGATAGGCCATTTTAAATTTTGTCATAGAGTAATTTTCATATTTTTTCTAAAAAGTGGAAAAGTTTTTTTTATAATATCGAGTTATACGACTTCTCGATTATAAATTAAAAACTAATTAACTTTCGAAAATAAAGATTTATTTGCGAAATAACGATATCCTTATGATTTTAATAATCGGTTTCAAGGAAAATATTTAGTTATCTTAGTACGGTGTTTCGACCAGTTTGAACAAAGCACACAATGTTTCTCTAAGTGAGAGGTTAAGAACTCGCTTGAACAGGAACGGGCTTGGTACCGCAGGCGTCCTCATCCTAGCAGAAGCAGGCCGGGGTGAGCACCAAGAGAACATGGGGGTTCTTACACAGGAGGGGTCATCTTCCCGCCGTAGATGCCCCGAGTACGTCGGGGTACCATGGATTTCCTTTCTAAGGTACACCTGGTTCCCTGGCTACTGGTACCCGAGACGGCGTGCGGTTTTTAAGAGGAGGGGATTTCGGCACAGAAAAAAGAAAGAAAAGGCGTATCGGACTGTTTTTACTATCGTAGAGGTCTGTGTTCGTTTCTTTACGCAGGCTAATGTACAAGCTTCACAGCTAGTTGTAAAAACTGGCACTGAACCAATGTGTATAAATTTCTGGGCGATCATTATGTGTAAGATAAAATGATTGAAGGTTGCAGTAGCATGTATGGGATAAAATACCAAAGCTCGCCATTCTTTACCATAGTAGTCACATTAAACTCGCATCCGGCGTGTCCTTTGCTAGCTAGCTAACATTTCTTACAATTTTTGATAGGCAAATGATTAGTATCGGCACCTGAACACAATGGCAAGGATGGGATCATCATCATAACCTGAATACTTTAAATATTTTTTAAATATAGTATACCAATCTCATTGAATATTTAGATTCTGATTTAAAAAATGTAAATTTTATCGTTTATAGTTTATTCTTTATTATCAGTATCACTAATAATTTTAATGTGGGACCTAGAGGCGAGAGCCCTTGCGGCCCTGAATCAGTGGCACAAGGAGTCGCAGGAGTTGGGTCGGTGTGCAGAAGTTTGAGAAATCGAGGGTCAGCAATCCCAACTGAGGATCAGAACTCCTCGTGGAGGAGTGGAAAGAACGACTTAGGTTACCGAGTGCTGGGCACGCCGTTATCGAATCTAACAGCCTGGACAGAAATAATCTCACAATAGTTTACAAAACACCAACACAACCGTTACTTATCTATTGCATCCTGGCATAGCGTGGTGCCCCCACGCTATGCCAGGATGCCAATAGAAAAGACCAAATGATACAACTCGAAGGAGCTCAATTGTCAGTTTCATCATTTAGAGTTGTTGTTGTCTTAATTCGTTTTATTGATTGATGGTTTTGATTAAGGATTAATTTTGGTTACTGACGTATTTTTTCTAACAATTGTTCTTAGTAAATTTTCACTGTCAGTGAATGCCCTGACATGATTGCCTACCAAAACTTGATTTTCTTTTTTTTAAATATGTGCTGTTGTTTATTTCTCAGTACTTTTTTGGATTAAAGTTTACGATTTGTTGCAAAAAAGCCTCATCGAAAAAAGAAGTGAGCTCATCTTCTGGATGAAAAGGGTTATTCAAGCTTTTACTTGAGCCCATGCTGCGTCGATAGACGTGATTAGCAAATTTTTTTATAACATCAGAATTTATTAGGTTTTTCATAATTTTCAGTACATCCTCCGAGTCCACTTCTATATTTATAGTTTTTCCTTCTGCACCAGAATAGGTTAGTAAACTGACTGAAATATTAATTTATAATGATAAGTCTAAATATAACATGATTACAAAAATGATTTTCACATTATTATGTGCTTGTACTCACTGAGAAGATGTATTGAGAAACCCACAATTTGAAATTGTTTAAAAACATTATTTAAACATTTATTATTCGGAGCCATGAATATGGTAATGGATAAGTACTTCAAAATTAATTGATTAATCGTTATATCGTTTTTATAATTAAAAAAATCGATAAGTTTGTAATTACCACATTAAATGTTGCTATTAAACATTGAAATTGAAGAAAGGTTTCAAATGAGTTTTTTAAACCTTACATTTACAAAGTATAAATAATAGCAAACAGTTCTTGTCAGTCTCTCGAATCTCGATCTTCAAATTTTTCTAAGTATTTATTCCTTGCTAGTGTTCTTACAACCCTAGGGATATTTAATAACTCCTTTATTATGCCCCACCAAAAACAATTTATGATGCATGCACATGCACGAAGTATCGAAGTCTGACATATGCGACAAGGGGCTAGCAATTTACAAACCTGAGTCTAAAGCACTTTAATGTTTATTTATTTATTATCTACATCGTATATACTTAACACATATAAAAAGATAAGTTAGAAAGTATGTAGTTGTAACAATCGGCGGTCTTATCGCTTACGGGGATGTCTTACAGACAACCTTAATATGGATAGGTACTACTTAAAAATTTAGGGTAGTTTACATACTATTTACATAACAATATGTACATACCATTTAACAGTTTAACGTTTAAAAATACGAAATAAATTTATTTAAAATTGCCGAAGTAGAATACCATTGTTAACATGAGTCGGTGAACTGTACACGGCAGCGTCGCAATGTCGGCGACATCAAAGTGACGCCGCCGCCGCAAAGAGGCGGCGAACTTTACATTCTTATTACATACCTACTAAATATTTCACTTGCTTTTCAAAATCAATTTATTAAAAATACTTATTTACATACTATTTATTTCGGGAATGCTCGACTAGCTTCGGACCCGACAGTACGTGTCACTTCTTGAAAAAGTAGGTACTTTGGTTGTCTCGTAATCTTACAAAGATTACCGCCCTTAAAAATTCGGCAGTCTGTAGGACATACACCATGGATTCCATACCTCGCTTTGTCCGTAAAGCTAAAGGTGCGTTTTGATAGAGTTCCCGGTAAATTAACATCATGTCAGAATATTCCGCGGCTGTGAAAGTCACTCAATAAAATTAAAAGACTACCCATTACCCTACACACACAAACTAATATTCTAACTTTAGCGGGACTCGTCACAACACGAAGTCTTGCCCACACGATAACATTAATTGTACACAACATTGTCGTGTTTTATGTTTATGACGAACGCAATAAGACTAAACAATAATTAACACAACAAAACTTTTCTAAACAAATATCTCACGAACAATAACAATATATT